AAAAATATCTCACATGCATATGTGGCTACATATTGGTCCTTAGGCCAACTGAGGAGAGCGGAGAACTACAGGGGTTTTAAGAGAACAAAAAACTTTCCCATAAACTGACTGTAGGGCATGGGACATTACATTCCATAAGTGCCCCCTACATGTGGATTTTGGGTAACAGTTAATTGACCTTCTTTCTATGCCTCCAACCTCCTGCCATTTATGTTTAGAGAGAACTAACATGAAGCACTTCTCCATTGTTGGAGTGTCCCTACTGGCCTCTTGGGATATGTCTACACTGCCATTAAAAATCCACAGCTGGCCTTAGCACTGACTCAGGCAGGGCCGGCTCCAGGCACCAGCGAAGGAAGCAGGTGCTTGGGGCGGCCAATTCAAAGGGACGGCACGTCCTGGTCTTCGGCGGTAATTTGGCAATGGGTCCCTCAGTCCCTCTCTTCCTCTGAGTGAAGGACCCGCCGCGGAATTGCCGCCGAAGAATGAAGCGATTGAGCTCCCGCCGAAGTGCCGCCGATCGGCTTTTTTTTTCTTTTCTTTTTTTTCGCCGCTTGGGGCATCAAAAAAGCTGGAGCCAGTCCTGGACTCAGGCTCGCAGGGCCCAGGGGGAGGGTCCCAGCCGGAGCACGAACATCGACACCAAAGCGAAACAGCTCCTTAACCCAAGTCAGTTGGCACGGGCCAGCCATGGATGTCTAATTGCAGTATAAACATACGTTTGGTGGCCTGCACCCTCCAGACTGCTAGACAATGGGATCTTTTCTAGATAGGCTTGCGGTAAAATAGATTTGATATGGAGAACGCAGTAGACAACCCTTGAGTGATCTTCTTAAGCAGCATAGGCCAGGTGCTACCAGGTGCGGCGCACCTGCCGCAGGGAGGATGTGCAGTGTGAATGAATCATGCTCAGTGCCTGGCCGGAAGAAACAGGCCTGAGCCCCACATCACTAATTCCACTATTGTGCAAGTTTTTGTCTGTTACATTTGTGCATAGGTTGGGTGTGTCTGAACCCATAACAAGCAAGCATTTAGCTTATTATAAAACAGCCTCTAAAATCAATTCCTTTATTCAGTGCCACCCGTTGATTTAAATTCATTTTTGGCGTTCAAGTACACAATGCTTTGCTTTGAAAGACTGTTTGCTGGTGAGGGTAAAAATAGTAGCGTAAATCAGACAGCTGTTTGTTGAGGCTCCTGCACAGTAAAAACACAAAATATTATTGTTACTGCCCGTGTTTCGCTGGGAATGCAATATCTTTGTCTTCTAGAGGATTTGTTTAACCACACAAAAAGGGGGCTTACGCAGCTTGTGAAAAAACATCTTGGAGGAAATGAAATCTCCAACTCTTTCTATCTGTGTTTTGGGTTGTTGTATTTAACATTTATTGCCTCTCTCCAGTTGCTTGGTTTCCCCTTCAGAGCACTAGCATTGCCTATAACAAAAACCCTAATGGTCCATTATGAGTTAATTTTTTGTCTGTTATGACTAGAGGAAAAATGTATTGAATGGAATGCATTTATTTGTACAATAGGCTTTTGTCCTCTATTTTGGACAAAATAAATAACTGAAGCATTGAATGAGAATACGTTACAATGAGTGGTTGTTTATTCAGGGAAATTTAAAATGGTTTTCCAACTCAGTAAGGTGCTCATTGGCCTGTGGGACCAAAATCATCCCTGGGATAGCACCATTGACCTTAGAGGCTTTTACAGTAGAGAGGGATTTAGTTCATTTGGGGGAAGGTTTTGTTGTTATACAATGAATAGTGAAGAAGTGAAGACTATGTAACAAATGACCATCTATTGCTATTGACATTCAAGAATGAAGCTTGACAGCTGCCAGCCAAATTCTGATCTCAGTTGCACTATTTATTCCAGATCTACACCACTGTAACTACATAGGCTCTGAATAAGGGTACTGTGGAATGGCATGAAACTGATGTAACCAAGATCAGAGAGACATCTCATTATCATTACTAATTATTTGTATTCCTGGAGAGTCTAGGACCCTGATTCAGTAATTCACTTAAATGGAGTTTAAGCACATGTTTAAGTACTTTGCTGAGATGTTTAAAATTAAGCACAAGCTAAAGCGTTCTGCTGAATCAGGGCCTAGAATTGAATGGGTCTAATTTTCCCTGGTATTGTAATTGTTTTCCGTGGGACTACTCAGGAAGTAAGATGCTACTGATCTTGAGAAAGGGTGGCAGAATTGGGCATTATAAAGAGAAACCTAGAAAAGATATATTAGATCATATAGTCCATTCCCCTGCCAATGCAAGACTATTCCATATAGTAAATGCTTTAGTTAGTCTAGTTTTAAATTATTCAAGCTATGGTGCTGCTAACACTTTGAGAGTCTATATCATAATTTTGTTGGTTGGTTGGTTTAGTTCAATAAAATACATATAGTAGAACATGAAGAAAACATAATAAAAATATTCATTCTTACTACCCATGGATGGCTCTTTATCAGTATGTTATGCTTCAGTTTAATGACCCTGGCAAGCAAGCAATAAAACCCAGATTGATTTTGATTAATGCACACTATTATTTGCTGTTAGCTCAGAGGTTTTAGTTCAGGGGTAGGCAACCTATGGCACGCGTGCCAAAGGCAGCACGTGAGCTGATTTTCACTGGCACTCACACTGCCAAGGTCCTGGCCACCATTCCGGGGGGCTCTGCATTTTAATTTAATTTTAAATGAAGCTTCTTAAACATTTTAAAAACCTTATTTAATTTACATACAACAATAGTTTAGTTATATATCATAGACTTATAGAAAGAGACCTTCTAAAAACGTTAAAATGTCTTAATGGCACAAAAAAACTTAAATTCGAGTGAATAAATGAAGACTCGGCACACCACTTCTGAAAGGTTGCCGACCCCTGGTTTAGTTTATTTTAAATATATTTTTTTCCAGACTGTGCAATTTTTTTTTAATTAGATGAAGTATTTCCATATAATGTCTGTTTCAGTTGCCAGTCAAATTATCCTTTTACTCGGCAAGCATTCTTATTCCAAGGTTTATCAAGTAATTGCCCAATACAGTGATCGTGGACCTGTTTCACCTATCATAACGATCACTTTTGTAACATAGTTTAGTTATTCTCTAGATTCTTGCTGAAAAGCAACAACAACAAAAATCCAAGATACAAAATGAAGCATGTTGATAATAATATATGGTAAGACCTAAATTGTGTAAACACATTTTAGTAGGATGCATCCATAAACGATCTTGCACTTTCTTTTCTATAATGAGCACCAGTGGGCATTGGTCAAAGTCCATGGTCCTAATTGCTGGTGTCATGAGAACAGTGTTGTTTTGTTAGTTTTATATTTTTCTCCAAGTATTTACATTATACTATTCTAAGGTTAAAGAGAAAAGAAGTAGGAGTTCAACTGTGCTGAATTCATCTTAAACTCAACTTAACTAGGCCCTAACGCTCATTATTAACCTTGATCATATTTCACATTCTTGAGTTTCCTGCCTTGCATAATTAGGAACAGTCCTTGCTAATGTTTTCAGTGAAAGAGATGAATAGACGGATATTGTTCCATATTATTATTGCAGTTTTGTTTATTTTTCCCAAGCTTCTAAGATCAAAAGGCCTGGAGCAAAATTTAGCAAAATTGATGTATCTACCTTTTTTGTAACAGATTAAATGCCTTGATTTAGGGATTACGAAGTTGATAAATTGACTGTCCGGGAAGACAAAGTTAATCTTAGGAAATTATTAATCCATTGATTTCAGGATGTCTGTAATATGGTTACTGCCTCTGTTGATTAATGCCTAATATTTGATGTACTGTATAACATATTATGCGTTTAAAATGTAAATAATCTTGGTTATATTTAGAGCATACAGAGTTTAGAGCTCCCATGGTAAAAGATAATCCCATAGGGTGAAATTCACTTCAACATGGAAGATCTTTTGCAGGGTTCCATGGGGCCTTGTATGGTGAATTTCTCCCGCAGAGCATATATAATAAAAAGCCTGGTCCTGCTCCCATTTTACAGTCAGTGGGAATTTTGCTGTTACCATGAATGTCAGTTGAGTCCAATTCTTGGAGACTTGCAAACCAGGAGGCCCCTTGAGTAACAGTAATGATATTATTTATGATTCATAGAGAAAAATGGCAGCCTAAAAAGAGGATTTGCCATACACTGGATAAGATAATTGATATTGGTGGTAGTGAATACCTAGTGCTTCAATACAGTTTTATAATCCTGTATAGGGTGGGGAAATCCTTTCCTGTCTCCTCCAGTGAATAGATGAAACTCTGATGCCATGAACTGTATTACCCTATCACTGGGGTGGATCCAAAAGCAAGAGAAGCACTTGTAGGGGTTATTTGCAACTGGAACATCCCCAACTTCTGAGATATAATTGGAAGGAGAACACAAGCTAGCTAGCTAGGTAGCTCCTCCGTCTTTCTCTCCAAGCTATAAGCATGATCTTAAAATGTCCATTTCCCCTCTCTCTGCTCAGTACCCACTAGAACCGACTGAAAAGGGACACAGGAAACTAAAAGGCACAGGTGTAGCCCATATGATTATTGCTATCTTACCAAGTGCTCCACGGGATGAAATAGAGTCACACCTACTTGTCTAGCAGTTGCCTCTTGTGGTTTTTTGCATCTATGGGTATGTCCACACAATAAAAGTTGTGCATGGGTTAGCCTACTCGAGCTAGTTTAAACTAGTTAGCGTGGGTAACGATAACAGAGAAGACAGTGTGTGGATAGTACACGTTTGACATGAACCCTGAGTACATCCTTGGGTTGCTAGCTTGTGCTATGTTGTCTTCACTGCTGTGGTGTCCTACACTAGCCAGATTTAAGCTAGCTCCAATAAGATAGTCGTTGCACAGTTTTTGCTGTGTAGACACACTCTTAGTGTACTGTATATGGTGCACAGCTTCACTTTAACACATTTACTTCCAGTGCAATATGCTCATCACAGGTCTGTCATCTTTTCCCCTCCTCTCACCCAGATGGAATGCCGTATGTTTGGTGGGTTGGCCGTGCCAATGAAAAGCATCCTTACTGGGGAGGATCTCTTCCTGGGGTTCAGCAATGTGCCTGTGGACTGGAAGAAAGTTGTCTGGATATGAGATATTTCTGCAACTGTGATGCCGATAAAGAAGAATGGTAATTATGCTAAGAAATGTGATATATCGTATGTGTGGAGAGATGCGGGTGGGATAGTAAGGGATGATGGGGGAGCTGAATCCAGTGCTAATTTATACCAGGTATAACCTGATTTGTTTCAGTGCAAGTAAATGGGGAGTGAGTCAGCACAGAATTTGTTCTTATTTAAAGCACAGTTTTTGAGTCAAACAAAGACAAGCCTTCTACCGGATACAGTCCTCCAGTGTGAATAGCATGTTGGGCAAAATTCTGCTTTCAGTTGCATCTGGGAAGCTGTGTTGCAGTCTGTGGGCTAAATCATGATGTTTTTACTTGGTCAAAATTTCCATTGACTTCAGTTAGAGGATTGCCTGAATAAAGACGTCAGGAGTTTAGACTCAGTGCCACTGAGGGGAGAGTTTGGGCCTCAGACAATAAATTTTAGGTGAAGGTAGGAGCAGAGGAAGTATATCCTACCAGAAGGGTTTGTAAGACAATAATTAAAATTTCTATATATGCCTGGATCTTCTATGTCTGCCTGATCTAAAGCCGAATGAAAATGGTGGAAAGACTCCCTTTGATTTCAGTGCACTTTGGATTAGGTCTTATAGGAAGGCGTATACCTATAAATGTATATTCAAAACCCTATGTAAACTTGAGTCTTTGATTTACTGAATGTCTGTCCTCTGAATGTTCCCCGATGCTGGAAAAAAATGTGAATGTAAACTCTTCCTTTTACTCTCTGTTTACTTTAAAGACTCTTTGCTGCTGACAGAGAGTCAGTCTGGGTATTTTCAAATTAATTTTCTATTTGTTCTATAGAGGATTAGAAATGACAGATATGGTTGTTGAAAGTACAAGGACGTTTATCTGAAACACAATAAAAAATGTTCATTAAACCAAAAAAGAGGGATAATCCACAGATATGAGTTGTTCTGCTTTATTTTTAGAAAAAATATTTATCACACTTAATAGATCATCAACAAAAGTTGGAGAGAAAATACACACCATATATCATAACATGTCATTATATTTTAAATAGTATCTAAATTTCCTCTAGGAAACCCTCATTTTGGAGAAATAAAGGGACATAATAAAACAATGCACGGAGCTAGCAATATAAAGATACACACCCAGCTATTCAAACGTTACCAGTTGTTTCGAGTACCTCACTTTTTGGGTGCCCAACTTGCAGCACTTAAAAGGGGCCTGATTTTCAGAAAGAGTGATACACCCACGCTTTGAAAATCTGGACCCCTAGATATCTCAGATTGAGCACCACAAAGTCCTTAGTCGGTTTTGAAAATCTCGGTCCTAGTAAGTTTTCAGTTAGTGGTCATTAGTAAAATAAAATGAATATCCTGTCTTCTCGTTCCAAATATTAGTGTCACAAAAATTTACACTATAACATAAGGCTATACTTATTAATATAACAGAGTTAATAACAAGACTAAGCTGAGCGAAGGAGGGATGATGGTATAAAAAGTCACTTGCTAGGTGAACTCAACAGCCGCGAACAGAGGAGTATCAGAGGGAGTAGCTGCTGACTTTGTGCTTGGAGGTAGGGAGACTTAGTGAGGGGTGAGTCTAGTCTGTCTGTGGGTTGTTTGGTTGAGTGTTTGTTTTTTTCCTGTTTGTTCTCTGTGTACAGATTACAGAGCTTGGCTATGAGCCCCAGTAAGCAGGATGCTTTGCTAAAGGTCACCCGGCTCTAGTCCTTGGGGCTTTGATTAACCCAGAGGTTTGAAGTCCCTGAGTGGTCAATCACTCCCTAGTGGTGAGGGGCAGAAGGGAGCTGAGCTGAACAGGGAAGACTTGGTAGAAAAAGTCATTTGCTAGGCAAACTCAAGAGCCGCAAACAGGGGAGTTAAGAGAGGGAGTGTGAGAGGCTTTCCTACAGCACTACATGTGATATCAAGATGGTCAGCGATGGAACAATGTTTCTTGACCTGCAGCAGATGTGCCATGTTCTCTTAGCCTGATGATGGATGGGATTCCATATTCATGACGTGCAAGTTGGTGGCTGTGCTGAAGGAAAAAAATCTTGGATTTGAGGGGCAAGTTTGAGATGCTATTGAGAATTGGAGAAGCTGAAGAGTTCCTAGAGAGCCAGACTCAGAAAACACTAGTATCCCAGGGTCAAAGAAGAATGGAGCTGGCCACCAAGGAATCAGAGAGAGAGGAGTCCTGGCAGTTCATAACCATTATAGGCTATGGTGATATTCTACATGGCTGGAGACAGATAAGCTGTGGCAGACTGTGGCCACCAGAGAGAAGATGACAGGGAGGAGTTCCATAGTTAGTAGTTTCAAGTTGGTACCAGTTCCTCAATATGGAAACTTTGAAAGACACCTCTCTAGATCCAGCAGGTGCAAGGAAACAGAGATGTGTACAGGACTCACCCGTGGATGGCAGCTCAGCCCAACCTGTAAGAAAATCAAGCTTGCCCACAAAGAGTTCTCTAACTATACAAGGAAGACAGACAATCCTTATGGGAGATTCAATACTCGGAAGAACTGAATGAAAGTTCTGCAAAGGAGAGGTGGACAACAGGACAGTGTGCTGCTTTCCTGGAGCCAAGACACCCGATTTCACTCTAAGATTGGATAGGCTTCTGAAGTCAATGGGCAAGGACCCATTGGTTCATATTCGCACTAATGATTCTGTATCGTAGGATATCTCACAGATACTAAATGATGTCAGGGCACTCAAAAGCATGCTGAAGAAAAAGAATAGGCAAGCAATCTTCTCTGAGATCCTTCCTGCCCCACAAGTAAAGGAAGACAGAAGGCAGAATATTGTGGAAGTGAACAACTGGCTAGGTAAGTGGTGCAGGGTGGAAAGTTTTAGTTTTGTGGAACATTTATCCACCGCCTATGGGGAGAGAGGGCAGTATAGTTTGGATTGGTCCTACTTCTACTGAAGTAGAGGCTATCTCCTCAGGGACAGGCTGGCTAGAGCAGGGTGGCTAACCTGAGCCTGAGAAGGAGACAGAATTTACCAATGTACGTTGCCAAAGAGCCACAGTAATACATCAGAAGCCCCACATCAGCTCCCCCCCAACACACACCACTCCCAGCACTTCCCACCCACCGGCAGCCCTGCAAATCAGCGCCTCCTCCTCCCTCACCGCACCTCCCGATCAGCTCTTTTGTGACATGCAGGAAACTCTGGGAGGGAGGGGGAAGGAGCAAGGGCACAGCAGGCTCAGGGGAGGGGGTGGGAAGGGATGGAGTTAGGGCAGGGCCTGTGGCAGAGCCAGGGGTTGAGCAGTGAGCACCCCCCAGCACATTGGAAAGTTGGTTCCTGTAGCTCCAGCCCTGGAGTCGGTGCCTATACAAGGAGCCGTATATTAACTTCTGAAGAGCTGCATATGGCTCCGGAGCCACTGTTTGGCCACCCCTGGGCTAGAATAATTAGGAGGGGGTTAAACTAATAACAAAAAGAGAGGATTAAAAAAAAGGGAAGATATTTGCACTGGGTTAGCACAAAATCGAGATGTTGAGAACAAAATTATTCAAGGAACCAAAGGACATGAAGAGAAGAAATTATTGAATTGCCTATATACCAATGCTAGGAGCATGGGTAACAAACAAAAGGAACTGGAATTCAATCTAGTTGGTATTAGTGAAACTCGGTGGGATGATTTGCACTACTGGAATATTAAAATCAATGGTTATCACCTATTGGAAGGATTGAGCGGGCAAAAGGGGAGGAGCAGTGGCACTCTATATCAAAAATGGCATTACCTGTTTCCATATCACTGATAACTCACAAGAAATGATCTTGAATGTTTATGGATCAATGTCCTAACAGATAAACCACAAAATGGGGTATTAGTTGGTGTCTGCTACAGACCACCAAATCACATTATGGAATAGTGGCCGAGGAGCTCGCTGGACCATTACGGTTGGTTTTCAATAAGTCTTGGAGCACTGGGGAAGTTCTGGGACACTGGAAGAAAGTTAATGTACCAATTCTTAAAAAGAGTAAATGGGATGACTGGGGTAATTATAGGTCTGTCAGCCTGACATTGATCCCAGGCAAGATAATGTTATGGCTGCTGTATGACTCAATTAATAAAGAATTAAAAGGAGGGTAGTGTACTTAATGCAAATCGACATGGGTTTATGGAAAATGGATATATTTTATTGATGAGATTACAAATTTGGTTGATAAAGGTAATCGTGTTGATGTCATTTACTTAGATCTCTGTCAGGCATTTGACTTGGTCCTGCATGCTTGATATTTTGATTTAAAATCTAGAATGATATAAAATTAACATGGCACACAATAAATGGATTAAAAACTGGCTAACTGATAGTTCTCAAAATATAATTGTCAATGGAGAATTGTCATCAAGTGGGTCTTTTCCCAATAGGATCCCACAGGGATCAGTTCTTAACCTTACACTGTTTAATATTTTTATAAATGATTTGGAAGAAACCATAAAATCACCATGACCACTGATAAAGTTTTCAGTTGAAACAAAAATTAGAGGAGTGGCAAAGAAGGAAAAGGACAGGTCACTGATTCAGAGTGATGTGGAGCACTTGGTAAACTGGGCACAAGCAAAAAATATGTGTTTTGGTATGGCTAAATGTATACATCAAGGAAAAGGATGTAGGCCATACTTATAGAAGGGGAGAAATCTATCCTGGGAAGCAGCGATCTGAAAAAGATTTGAGGTGGTGGAGAATCAACTGAACACGAGCTCCCACTGTGATGCTGTGGCCAAAAGAGCTAATGTGATCCTGGTATGCAAAAACAGGAGACTCTTGAGTAGGAGTAGAGAGATTATTTTATCTCTGCATTTGTCACTGGTGTGACCTCTGCTGGAATACTGTGTCCAGTTCTGGTGCCCACAGTCCAAGAAGGATGTTGATAAATGGGAGAGGGTTCAGAGAAGAGCTCTGAGAATTAAAGGATTAGAAACCTGCTTTATAGCAATAGACGTAAAAAGCTAAAGTCTATTTAGCTTAACAAAGAGAAGGTTAAGGGGTGACTTGATTATAGTCTAT